CCTTCCTCTAGAACATGTTACGCTCATTACCGCTGACACTGCTGACCGATGCCTTCCTCTAGAACATGTTACGCTCATTACCGCTGACACTGCTGACCGATGCCTTCCTCTAGAACATGTTACGCTCATTACCGCTGACACTGCTGACCGATGCCTTCCTCTAGAACATGTTACGCTCATTACCGCTGACACTGCTGACCGATGCCTTCCTCTAGAACATGTTACGCTCATTACCGCTGACACTGCTGACCGATGCCTTCCTCTAGAACATGTTACGCTCATTACCGCTGACACTGCTGACCGATGCCTTCCTCTAGAACATGTTACGCTCATTACCGCTGACACTGCTGACCGATGCCTTCCTCTAGAACATGTTACGCTCATTACCGCTGACACTGCTGACCGATGCCTTCCTCTAGAACATGTTACGCTCATTACCGCTGACACTGCTGACCGATGCCTTCCTCTAGAACATGTTACGCTCATTACCGCTGACACTGCTGACCGATGCCTTCCTCTAGAACATGTTACGCTCATTACCGCTGACACTGCTGACCGATGCCTTCCTCTAGAACATGTTACGCTCATTACCGCTGTGACACTGCTGACCGCTCCTTTCCTCTAGAAAGTGGTGCGCTCATTACCGCTGACACTGCTGACCGCTCCTTTCCTCTAGAACGTGTTGCGCTCATTACCGCTGTGACACTGCTGACCGCTCCTTTCCTCTAGAACGTGTTGCGCTCATTACCGCTGTGACACTGCTGACCGCTCCTTTCCTCTAGAACGTGTTGCGCTCATTACCGCTGTGACACTGCTGTCCGCTCCTTTCCTCTAGAACGTGTTGCGCTCATTACCGCTGTGACACTGCTGACCGCTCCCTTTCTCTAGAACGTGTTGCGCTCATTACCGCTGTGACACTGCTGAACGATCCCTTCCTCTAGAACATGTTGCGCTCATTAACGCTGTGACACTGCTGACCGCTCCTTTCCTCTAGAACGTGTTGCGCTCATTACCGCTGACACTGCTGACCGCTCCCTTCCTCTAGAACATGTTGCGCTCATTTCCGCTGTGACCCTGCTGACCGCTCCCTTCCTCTAGAACATGTTGCGCTCATTTCCGCTGTGACCCTGCTGACCGCTCCCTTCCTCTAGAACATGTTGCGCTCATTTCCGCTGTGACCCTGCTGACCGCTCCCTTCCTCTAGAACATGTTGCGCTCATTTCCGCTGTGACCCTGCTGACCGCTCCCTTCCTCTAGAACATGTTGCGCTCATTTCCGCTGTGACCCTGCTGACCGCTCCCTTCCTCTAGAACATGTTGCGCTCATTTCCGCTGTGACCCTGCTGACCGCTCCCTTCCTCTAGAACATGTTGCGCTCATTTCCGCTGTGACCCTGCTGACCGCTCCCTTCCTCTAGAACATGTTGCGCTCATTTCCGCTGTGACCCTGCTGACCGCTCCCTTCCTCTAGAACATGTTGCGCTCATTTCCGCTGTGACCCTGCTGACCGCTCCCTTCCTCTAGAACATGTTGCGCTCATTTCCGCTGTGACCCTGCTGACCGCTCCCTTCCTCTAGAACATGTTGCGCTCATTTCCGCTGTGACCCTGCTGACCGCTCCCTTCCTCTAGAACATGTTGCGCTCATTTCCGCTGTGACCCTGCTGACCGCTCCCTTCCTCTAGAACATGTTGCGCTCATTTCCGCTGTGACCCTGCTGACCGCTCCCTTCCTCTAGAACGTATTGCGCTCATTACCGCTGTGACACTGCTGACCGCTCCCTTCCTCTAGAACGTGTTACGCTCATTACCGCTGTGACACTACCGACTGCTCCTTTCCTCTAGAACGTGTCTGTTGGGATTGTGGGGAAAGACATGGAGTTCAGCATCTATGACGACGATGCTGTGGCGCGATTCCTGGAGGGTCTGGAGGAGCGGCCGCAGAGACGGGTGAGGGTTATTCCAGGTGTCTGCAGGTTTCTGAGCGTGAGTGATGTGCTGATATTGTTTGTGGACCGCAGGTGGCCCAGCCGGCTGATGAAGCGGCTCCAGCTGTACCTGATGAAGCCATGGAGCACTAACACGTGCCTCTCCAGCTCTGTCTGACCGCAGCTTCTCTGCCTCACACAAACCTGTAACATTTAAACCTTCTTTTTCTATCTCTGAGTTTAAGAGCAATAAATCTGTATTTGTTTCTTTCTGAGTGTTTTTGTGCTTTTTCATGGAGACTGTACAGCAGTGAGATTATTTAATAATTACCCTCTCCATGTCCTGATACCCGTTCATTCTCGATCAGACTGACATGACCACAGTCTGTTTGAAGCTCAAGTCCATTCTCTGCTCCTTCAACATGTTTCACGTTCATCACCATTCTACTCTTTGCCTATAGTAGAAATTAGAAATAAATTATTCAAAAATAAGAAATAAGTGATTGGTTGGATTGTCTGATTTCATTAATATGATTAAATTGCTGGACCCTTCTAGAATATTTAGTGAACGGTCATTGATTATGAGCAGTTGTGATTGGCAGTGTTGCGGAAAGTTACATGCATTATTGTGTTACTCCCTAAAAAAGGAACTTAATTGTTATGTAGTTACTTTTTTGGAAAGTAATGTGTTAACTTTTCTTATCTGGGCTGGGTATACTTACTGTTTGTTTTTAATAAAAAAAAAGCACTTTCTCATCTTTCTCAGAGTGAAAGGCTGAAGGACATGTCTATTCCCGTCTGTACAGAAGCTTTGAGCTGTGCTGCTGATCTGGATTGCATGAAGAATAGGACGCAGGAGAAGAAAGTTAACATTCTTCAGTAATAACAATACAATAAAAAATACAAATGTTATGTATTACTTACTAGAATTAATTACCAGTTGTTTACTACAGTAGTCAATATTTGAAGTGGATCAAAAAAGTTCATGAAAGTTGTCCTAAGACCAGCATTTGGTTTGAAGAAACTTTGATGAAAGGTTTTGATCCTATTTAAATGTCGACTAGTTTAGTTGAATTGGATCATTAAAGGACAGCAGCAGACACTAGTTAATAAAGTGGGATTTATTTCCACAGCGCCTTGGCACTTACTCCTGATTTCTCAACATGCTGTCAGTCAATTCATGGAAAATGAAGCAACTGAACTGGCATTACTTATTTGAAAAAGCAACTCAAGGTAATTAAAGAGTAATGTGTTACTTGGAAAAAAGTACTCCAATTACGTAACTTGCATTACTTGAAACTGGCCTTACCCCCAACTCTGGTCTTTGTCTCTGGCAGACTATGACAGGCACGATATGAAATCAATGAGCAAGCAGATCAAGTTACCAGAGTATAATATCCTCCACAGATCTGAAGACCCCGTCAGTTCTTAAATTCAAAGGTTAGAAGCAAGTGGTGATCAGAATGAGATTAGTAACAAATAAATGACAGAAAGTCGATTTTACTGATGGACCAGGAATTGTATTCTGCTGCAGTAAGCCTCTGGGATCGAGTCAGTGGCACGGGAATGTCCACATAAATCATGCCAGAGCTCAGTTTGAGAACAACAGATCTACTCTTCCACACAGTTAAGTTTTATTCCATTACGGCCCTGTTTACACCTGCTATTAAGATCGAGACTAGAGCCTCTGTAAAGCAGGAAAAACTCCTGAGGTCTTTATGGAAATGAATGTTTTGAAAACCACTCTTAAACTCAGGTGCACGACACAATGCAGATGTGTTGTGAAAAGAGTTCATGACAGACCAGAGATCTTCATATCAGCTCTCATGTTTTCATATGAGGGGACACATCTGGGAGTTCAGTATCGCTGTATCCATCATCAGCTCACTGATGAACTCTCAATAACTAATGAAGATGCAAGTCACTGGATGGAGAACCAAAGAAATAAACACCAGGTGTGTGCTTGTGTTGTTTTATTAACACAAAATACAGCAGTCAATGACACACACTCATGCAAGTATGAAAAGAGAATATAAATTAATCATAAACAATAAAAGCATCAATCACAATGTTTACTACACAAGCCATGAAGCACAGAAGAAAAACGAAATGGATTTACAGTCCGAGCTTTCGGTAATAATGTGAAAACTGAAAATGGAAAAAAAAAAACTTTTACTGCAGACCTGTTAAATTAGTTTGTGGTACATTACAAGTTGTTTTCTTTAGGTGATGAATTTTATGTAAATATAGAGTATATCATATTTGATTCTGGAGTTGACAGGATGATCAGAAGTTTTGTGCTGAATGCAGCGGCTCAGTAGAAACGTCCTGCAGCTAAAATGCCTGATGTTTTCTGAACACAAGAACTCTGCATGTTGTTCACATTATAAACACAGGCTGAGGTTCCTGTACAATAGACAGGATATTGATCATTCATACTCATGTGTGACACAGCTGCTCCTTCCTGTGTGTCTCACAAACATGTCCACTGAGAGACAGCTAGTGCTCAATATAAGGTGAAAGTGTCCATGCAGCAAACCCATCTTCAATAACGCCATGCATTGTTATTATTTAGATGGTTCATTGTTTGTTTCTCCGCCTGATGACGCTGTGTTCTGACACTGGGCTGGGTGTGATGTCACTTCCTGTTTGAGTGTCTGCCTCTGGCTGTGATTGGCTGGTGGAGTCACTCAAAGACAGGTCCTCCATCTTTGTGTTTGTGTTGGCATCTGTCCTCTCGTGGCGGTCGCTGACGGACTCTTGGTCGGGACAGCTCGTCTCAGGATCATGGCTCTCTCTCATCTGAACGGGAGGCGAATGAACACAACAGAAATGCTCTTTCCCACCGTTGTCAGGAAGATCTGTGAAAATAAAATGCTTCATTCGTGATTAAAGGCTGCGAGGATGTGTCAGTGGTTTCCGAGCATAACATGAAGTGATGTGTGCATCTCACCGGAGCCGTGGGCGTCTGCTGGGATGGTGTCCACAAAGCGGCCCTCCTGCATGACGCGAGTGATCTCCTGCAGCTGATGCAGCAGCTTCTGCTCCTCATCCACGGCCACCGCTCCTGCCACACTGCCAACACACACGCTCACGTCACATGGAAACACACACACACACACACACACACACAGAGCGAGAGAGATGCACACCTGTCAGAGCCAGCGCTGGCTGCAGAAATGATCCTCTCGATCACGTCCTTCGTCTCATTCAGTCTGTCCTGCAGCTGAGCCAACTCAAAATCAGCTGAGAGAGAGACAGATCTGTTACTCAACACACACAGAAACCGCTGATCATCAATGTAAAGCTGTTTAAAAGTGACACAGTGTCCCGGTTGTGTGTTCGTGTTCGTACTTATTTTCCTCTTCATGTTTTCGGATCTGACTGCAGCGAATCGGCTCTCTGGAGGTTTGGTTATTTTGCCTTTGGAAGTGATCTTTAACAGACACAAACAAACTCCTAGTTACAAATATGGTAGAACTTCTACCACAAAAAGCACTGGCTACCTATTAAACATCGTATAGATTTTAAAATCTTGCTTATTACTTATAAAGCCCTGAATGGTTTAGCACCTCAGTATTTGAACGAGCTCTTCAGAATCAAATCACTGAGGATGCTTGTTAAATCAGTGAGGGTGCTGTAACCTTAATCTATCTATCTAGCTTAGCACCCCTGTAGAACCGGGCCTGATTATAGTCCTTCATGTCCGCTACGATCTCAAAACTTGATAATACCTAGAATATCAAAATCAACTGCGGGTACTTGTTACATCGTAAGAAGAAATGCATCTATGCTAATTTTGTTTCTCTCTTATTCCGAGGTCACCGTTGCCACCAGATCCAGTCTGTATCCAGATCAGATGGTCACTGCAGTCACCCGGATCCAGTACATATTCAGACCAGATGGTGGATCAGCACCTAGAGATGACCTCTACAGCCCTGAATGTCAGCGGAGACCAGGACAAATAGATGAGCCCCAGATACAGATCCCCTGTAAAGACTTGTCTCAGACGACCACCGGGACAAGACCGCAGGAACCAGTTGAGTCCTCTGCACAATGTGACTTTGCTGCAGCCTGAAATTGAACTGCTGGTTTCGTCTGGCCAGAGGAGAACGGCACACTATTTCGACACACTGTTTTCCTATTTTAATACTGTAAAGCTGCTTTGACACAATCTGCATTGTGAAAAGCGCTATATAAATAACGGTGACCTGACTTGACAAACACATGTCACCTGAGCCTCGGCTGAAGCGTCTGAAATGCAGGAGCGCCGTCTCACCTTGAACAGAATGTAGAGGATGTACAGTAAGATGCCGAAGCCGTAGATGGGGATGATCTGGCCTGCGAGGTTGGACTTTCCTCCGGTGCTGGCTCCTTTGGCCCGGGCGATGGCCTCGGGGTTGTGCGCTCTGGAGAAGCGCCGCTGCTCCTCGGACACAGATACAGCCGGTCTGTGAGGCGTGGGAGGAGAATGACCTGCGGGCCCTTCGGGAGACATTTACACACAGCTGTCAGTGTTTGCATTCATTCAGCTGGATCCTGTTCATAATCACCAAAGCTCTCTTTCATCTCATCATATAACTCGCATTATTCACATACTCTTCCACATATACAGAGCACCACTGCTGATTGTATATTTAAAAACCATCAAATACATGTCATGTCAAGTTGTGTTTCAGTACGTGTACATACAACGTTTCAGTTACTCTTTTTTTGAGGTTATGCTTTACAAAATGTATTTGTCTTTATTTACTAAATCTAGCCTCTTTATTTTCATTTTGGCCATAGGTGCGTTTGTGCTAATATCTGGTCTAGAGGACAGTGCAATGCCTTCAACAATCAAATGCAGAAAACATATGTTTTCAATGACATGAATCTCGAAAGAAAGAGATGGTGTTCTAATGAAAGGAAATGAATCATGCGTGTAAGAATAGCAGACCCTCGCCGTGCGCTGCGTCTCTCTTTCCTCGCGATAGCAGCATCTTCGGCAGCAGAAGCGCGACGCACAACAGCACGCAGGACGCTATAGCGAGCTTCTGAAATGTGGAACTAGACATCTGTACTGATCTCTGATCTCTGATCTCTGATGTCTCTGACTCCAGACTGTATCTGCAACACTGTGTCTGCGTCTGTGACGCGCTCCTGACTCCCGCAGCCTCCTCACTTCCGGACAGCTGCCATGGAAACCGATACATTACGATCACCGTATCAGAGAGAAAGACGAGTCTCCGTAATAACTCTCTTATCGGAGTATAATAACTCTCTTATCGGAGTATAATAACTCTCTTATGCTCAAACAGAAAACTGTGTGTCAGCGGCATCGTTATCGATTTGTAAAGTATTGTCCTCAAACTGCGCTGGGCACCTGACAACTGTGACTTTTCTCAGCGCTGATGAAGATACACTAATCACAGACGCTTGCGATTGTTTGAGTGCTGATTTATGCATTTATTTTTTATTTATATATATATATAAAGGGATCATTTATATAGACTACTGGGACAGTTTTACAATTTTATGTCATTTTTATTTTTATGTTCAATTTGTAACCGTTGTAATTACCAGGTTTAAAACGTTTACACATTTGTTGTACAAATATTCTTACCCCGTTGAGTCTTATTTCAGTGTCACAGGAAAACGATGTAGTGTATAAGTGTTTACATCCTGTGTAATGTCTGTCAAACACCTTTACCTTGTTCTTGTTACGCTAAAACGATCTTATATCCTCCAGACTGCTCTGATGCTGGTTTAGGCCTACAGGTGTTTGTAATACTGCATGTACACAATTAGACGTGTTGGATTAAATGAGAGGAACACATGTTTATAATAATAATGATGATAAGACCCCAGCAACGCCAATGTGGATTTGACCACCACCAAATATAGATCTATTCTTACTGGAATCAAGACCAGATCAGGATCAGAGCGTGTTAGAAGCAGAGAGGAACCGCATATAGATCTATTCTTACTGGAATCAAGACCAGATCAGGATCAGAGAGGACAACAGAACACATTGATCCAATATGAACCGCATCTACAGTGGGGTGACCATACGTGCCATTTTCCCAGGACGCGTCCTGGGAGAGAATTCAGTCCCAAGCTTTGAGAGCTTGCTGTGGAGCTTATCGTCTTCTACAGGTCCAGTGTTACAGGTAGAGATGGGGGAGATGCAGATTAAATTAAGAAGAAAGCATCTGATACTGGCATATTGGGCAACCCTTAAAGGTCAGAAGGATAGTCACCCGACAAAAGGTATAATTGAGGCATGTTGGGAACACGGGAAAAGGAAAGTTAACAGTTTTGGATGGATCATTAAGGACTTAGTGCAGGACATGACATTAAGTGAGTACAGTGTCATTCCAGCAGTAATATTACCAGCAACGCCAATGTGGATTATACCACAACCAAATATAGATCTATTCTTACTGGAATCAAGACCAGATCAGGATCAGAGCGTGTTAGAAGCAGAGAGGAACCGCATCTACAGGTTCACACAGATGCATCTAAGCATCCACAGAATGGTCAGCTGCGGGCAGCATATATCATCACGCTTGAGAATAACAGATCATGTTTCTGTGTTTACAGCAGACTTCATAGCAATTCTGATAGCAATCAATACAATAATTCAAATAGGACTAAGCAGATCTGTAACATGCTCAGATTCAAGCTCAGCTTTGTTATGCCTAGAAGCTCAAAAGTCAGAAACTAGACACGATATTGTTTTGGAGATACTACAGATATTGTACATGATACAGCAGACAAATAAACTAGTTCCGGCACATACTGGAGTGTCAGGATGAAGCAGCAGACACGTTATGGCAAAGGAAAATATAGATATGGAAATAATGTACAGCAAAGCAGAACTCTAATCAATAATAAAAAGGGAGATAAATAAAAACGGGCGATCTTATTGGGATAATGAGCAAAAGGGAAGGCATCTACACTTAATCCAACCATTGTTAGGAAGAGAGAGAAGGAAAGAAGACTGTATTATTTCCAGATTATAATATAATATATAATACAGGACTGTGTGATTGGTGTGGTGTTAAAGAAACGGTGGAACATGGACTCATTACGTGTAATAGATATTCAGAGGAAAGAAGTCATCTAATAGAAGAATCTAAGAAGAACGTGTTCAACAATTAACATTAAACAAGCTTTTAAATCAGTAGAAGGGGATACTTTATTAATACCATTTTTAAATAGAACTCATTTAATGAATATAATATGGCTAGGCTATTGTTATTATTGTTGTTATTATTAATAGTAGTAGTATTGTAGTTATTTCTGGTCTCAGGACTGTGATGGGCTTCGGCTGTAGATGGAGCAACATTGTCTTGAATGGTCTGGGAGTAGCGTTAGGATATAGTGTCTCTGATCCAGTAATGCGAAGCGCCAATAAGCTCAAAGAAGAAGAAGAAGAAGAAGGAGAAGAAGAAGAAGAAGAAGAAGAGTGTGAAAGACGGCATGGGTTTTGTAGCAGTAGTTTTGACTCCAGTCTGCAGGCGGTGCTCTTTCGCTGAGATCCCGCGCGACACGCATTATCTCGCGAGATCACAGGACAACTTCCTTTTTGCGTTCTCTGCCGCCATGGTAGGTGCTCACGAAGAGCTCTCTGACTGTGATTAAAACGTTATCCTTCTCAATCCTTTCTGAAGTAGGGTCAGAACAGCCTCATAACTTGTTGATGTGGTTTCCTGTCGGTTTAAGTGTGATCATCGGTCTGTATTGTGCAGATGTTTTCCGAGACAGAGCTGTTAGCGGTGTTGTTGAGCCCCAGCGCGCTGGTGTGTTTCTCTGAAGTCTAGTGAAGTATCGCAGCGTGTAACCTACAGCGACTTTCATGTGTTTTCTCCACAGCCGACCAAACAGTCCAAGACCAGGAAGCTGCGCGGACACGTCAGCCACGGCCACGGGCGCATCGGTCAGTAAACATGCTGGAGAGTGTTTGGTGCTGCAGTGTGTTTGGTGCTGGAGTGTGTTTGGTGCTGCAGTGTGTTTAAGCGTGTTTGATGCTGTAGTGTGTTTAAGTGTGTTTGGTGCTGGAGTGTGTTTAAGTGTGTTTGATGCTGGAGTGTGTTTAAGTGTGTTTGGTGCTGGAGTGTGTTTAAGTGTGTTTGATGCTGGAGTGTGTTTAAGTGTGTTTGATGCTGGAGTGTGTTTAAGTGTGTTTGATGCTGGAGTGTGTTTAAGTGTGTTTGATGCTGGAGTGTGTTT